ATTTAGCTTTTCCTGGGGATTCCTCCTTCACTTTCAATTGGGGGTTATTTTTTTGTTTACACATTTTAAGTGACTTTTTGTTTGTTTCTGCATCTCAGATTGCTTTGCTTTGACTGCCTATCTTTGTGGGGTGCACTTCTCTGAGACTCAGTGGTGCAGTCTCTTTGATATCCTGAGCTGGATGCTATAAGGATGCCCTTTATTCAGTTTATTTTGGCTCTCAGGTACTTGGGCTTTGGTTATGGTTGGCTCATTTATCAGTGGGTGCTCCCCTCCAATTGGCTGACCTGGAGTTGCAACCCCTGCCATGTCTTATTGTGATACATCTTCTGTACTACTCTGCCTAGAACTTCACATCAGCTAAGATTCTGTTGATTTTTCAGGTTTTTCTCAGAAGGTCAGCCAAGAATTGGAGTTGGGCATTATAGCAAATGGATTTAGCTTCCACCTACTTTGGTGCCATCTTCAAAAAAAACTGTATTTTAAAAAATGATAGATCTTGCTTTTAGTGTTATATCTAAAAACTCTTAGCCTAATCTTATAGTTTGAATATTTTCTTTTAAAGCTGTTTTAATTTTTAATGTATTATTCCATTATGAATTAATTTTTGCATAAGATATGATGTTGAATTTGAGGTAATTTCTATTGCATAAGAAAGCTCAATTGTTCCAACACCATTAATTTGTTGAAAAGACCATTGTTTTTCAATATTGACTTGCATTTTCACCAATTTAAAAAAATCAGTAGGCTATGAACAGTTCTAAGCCTGGAGTATTCTGTTCTATATATCTGTGTGTCCTATCACTTTGCAAATATCACATTCTAGGTTTATAAGATTTGGGGGTAGATTCCATGGGATTTTGGTAACATGACACATATAATTGTAATGTTTCTATGTATACAAACAATAATGTTGTGTCTGAAATGGGGGGATCTTTTAGTTGGGTCATAATTTATTAGTTTTGACTAATATTTTAAATTTAGATGTTTGAATTTAGATCTTTGACATCTAATATAATTGTTAATGTACTTGGATTTAGCCTAACACTTTTAATTTTTTAAAATATTTTATTTATTTATTTTTAGAGAGAGGGGAAGGGAAGGAGAAAGACAGGTAGAGAAACATCAATGTTTGGTTGCCTCTCAGAGGCCCCCTGCTGGGGACCTGGCCCACAACCCAGGCACATGCCCTAGACTGGAAATCGAACTAGCAACCCTTTGGTTTGCAGGCCCGTGCTCAATCCACTGAGCTACACCAGCCAGGACTAATTTTTTTGTTTGTTATTTCATTCTTTGATTTTGCTTTCCTGCCTTCTTATGGGATATTTGAGCATTTTTCATTTCATTTTATCTAGTGTAATTTTACTTATGTCTTTTGTAAAGTTTTTCATTGTTTGCTCTAGGGATTGTAATATCTATTTGTAACCTTTAAAGAACAACTTAGGGTCATTATTTCACTACTGTAGGTGGGATGTAGAAAACTTACCACAATAAATACCCTCTTATTCTCTCCCCTTATGTTAGAACTGTCTTACCTCCTAAATTATATACACTGAAAACTTTGTAAATTGTTTAATTTTTGCTTTCAATTGTCAAATATATTTAAAAAACTGAAGAGGAGTATCATTGTTTATTATGTTACAGAAATCTTTATATACTTGTTTTCCTGTATTTCTGGTGTTTCAGGTTAACATTTAGGGTTTTTTTTTTACTTGTTGAGGACTTTCCTTTAACTCTTTTTTTTAGTAGCTTGTGTGCTGGCAATGAACTACTGTAGCTATTCTTTATCTGATAACATGTTTGTATTATACTATATATCCAAGGGACTTACATATTCCAGAAATACATTACACTTAATGCGAGATTCTGGTTTGGCATTTATGTTTTTCCATCATTGTCAAGGACCTCCCAGTGCAGAAACCTATTCATAGATCTGTGTTGGTCTGTGCCCATTGTCAACCTTCAGGACTGTACCTCCCATATCTGCTCAAGGCCTCAACCCAGGCTCCCTTTCCCTGAGAAAGGACACTCTGTTCTTTCATTGGTGCCTTTCCAGCTGTCTTAGTACCATCCAGCACGTGAAATAGTAACAACCAGACCCACTGAGTGATAAAGAATAGGAATGTCACTGTAACAAGCGCGTTTATGTACTGGTTTATTATCTCAGGGGCAAGGTCATAAGTGTGGGATGAGTCAGGAGAGCAGAGGCTTGTGGGTCTCACTCTGGGTTCCTCAGGCATTTGAACAATATTAGCAAGCATCTCTGTCTTTCACAGCATCTTTACTTCCTTCCAGCAAGGTTCCCTCAACCACCCATAAAAGTGTTACATCAGATGCTGGAAAAAAAATTCTATTGTTTCTCAAATGGTGAAATAGCTGCACTGATACCCAATTCTAGCTCTGATCTATGGCTAAATGATTAAGGAAAAGGCTTTTCTTTTGCATCATCTAAAAATTTTTGCTACCTAGACCTAATTTTCAGAATTTCCTAGAGAGTAAAATAATCTGCTAATAGGCAGTAACTCTGCTGTGTTCTTAGTTTTGATGGTTCCTTGAAAATAAATTATTTAAAATATGGCACAGGAATTGGACATCTATATGGACAGGCCTTAGATGTTCTGAGATCTGTGACACAGTTTTGAGAGTGGCCAGCATCAACCCCTAGTTGATGACTCAGATAACTAATATTTTAGAAAGAGCCAGCAACCCTCAAGTTATCTGGAGGATTGGTGGAGGCAGAGAAGGTCAAAATTGGTTTGTGTTTGGGGAAAAGGCTCTCTTTCTTTCTGCTCCTCCTGCTAACAGAGGGCAAAAACGGAGAGCATTATGAGAATAACCTGTCCTTCCAAACTAAATGCTTCTTCCCTGGCTGCTATGGCTCAGTGGTTTGAGTGCTGGCCTGAAAACCATAGGTCACCAGTTCAATTCCTAGTCAGGGCACATGCCTAGGTTGCAGGTCAGGTCCCTGGTTGGGTATGTGCAAGAACCAACCAGACACTGATGTTTCTCTCCCTCTTTTTTCCCCTCTCTTCCCCTCTCTCTAAAAATAAATACATAAAGTCTTTTTTAAAAAACCATATGCTTCTTTCTTTTATGATGTTAAATTTCCTGATTTTTAAATTTTGGTAAAACACATACATAATGTAATATTCCATGTATTAATTATTTTTAAGTAAACAGTCTGTGGCATTAAGTACATTCACATTATTGTGCTACCCTCACTTCTGTACATCTCTAGAACTTTTTCATCTTCCTGAACTGAAACTCTTCACCCATTAAAAACATTAACAACTTAATACTTCTTCCCTTGATCCCTGGCAACCAAAATTCTACTCTTTTCATTTTCTTCTTAACTTACTGCTTTGACCCTTGCCTGGAAGTTTATGTGTATTATTCTCTTTGTCTCAAATGACCTTCCCTGTGGGTGGTAAAATATTCCACATAACCTTATTTATTTTTCTTTGAGAACCTAATCAACAAAACAGACAAGCAAGCAAAATATAACAAGACACATTGAAATTAAGAACAAATAGACAGTAACCAGAGGGGAGATGGGAGGGGATAATGGTGGGAGAGAATGAAGGGTTTTCAGGCACAACTATAAAGGACACATGGAGAAAATGAAGCAGAGGAGGAATCAGGAGAGGGAGGTAGTGATGGGTGGAGTGGGGCAATGAGGTAGATGGAAAAGGCAAAAAAAAAACTGTACTTGAACAAAAATAAAAATTTTTTTAAATGAAAACAAAAATTTACTGAAGTTTGGCCTGAAAAAAAACAAAGTTACCTTTTAAAATGAAATTTCTGTCAGCAGTGATTATTATGTATGATTATTATATAAAACATGAAGCATTCTTTATATATTAGAATAAATTTTTATATAAAATAAAAATACAATATTGATCTTAAAAAAACACCAAAACACCTAAATATTTGTGCTCATGGATAGGAAGAATTTGCATCACTAAAAGTACAAATTACCAAAAGCCATCTATAGATTCAACAAAATTCCTATCAATCAGAATACCAATTATATATTTCACCGGAACTGGAACAAATGATCCAAAAATTTACACAAAACCTCAAAAGACCCTGAATAGCCACAGAAATCTTGAGAAGAAAGAACAAAATTGGCTGTATCATGGTGCCTGACATCAAACTATACTATCAGGCCATAGCACACAAAGCAGCATGGTACTGGCATAAAAACAGACATATAGGTCAATGAAACAAAATAGAGAGCCCAAGAACAAACCTATGCCTCTATGAGCAATTAATATTTGACAAAGGATGCAAGAATATATAATAGGGTAAGAAGAGTCTAGTCAATAAATAGTGTTGGGAAAATTGAACAAATACATGCAAAAAATGAAACTAGACCACCTTCTTACACAATACACAAGGATAATCTCAAAATAGATTAAAGACTTAAATATAAGACTTGAAACCATAAAAACGCTAGAGGAAAACATAGGCAGCAAAATCTCAGATATTTATCTTAGCAATATTTCTTCTGATATATCTCCCTGGGAAAATGGGATGACATAAAAAATATGTGTTTTTTTGCACAGTAAAGAAACCATCAATAAAATGAAAAGACAACCTACTGAATGGGAGAAGATATTCATTAATAATACAGCTGATAAGGGGTTAATTTCCAAAATGTATAAAGAACTCATATAACTCTATACCAAAAAAATAAAAAAATCCAATTAAAAAATGGGCAGAGGATATGAATAAACAATTCTCCAAAGAGGACATACAGGTGGCCCAGAGACATATGAAAAGATACTCAACATTACTAGTCATCAGATAAATATGAATTAAAACCACAGTAAGATATCACCTCATACCTATCAAAATGATTATCATTAATAAATCAACAAAAAGTGCTGGTGAGAATGTATAGGAAATGGAACCCTTGTGTACTGTTGGTGGAAATGCAGATTGGTGCAACCAGTATAGAAAACAGTTTGGAGAGTCCTCATAAAAGGAACTGCCTTGTGCTCGCTTCAGCAGCACATACACTAAAATTGGAATGATACAGAGAAGATCAGCATGGCCCCTGCGCAAGGATGACATGCAAATTCATGAAGCGTTCCATATTTTTATGATCTCACCTTTAACAGGAAGCTAAACAACAAAACAAACAAGCAAGCAGAAAAAAAACAAAGACACTGCAATAGAGAACAAGGGGACAGTGACCAGAGGGGAGAGGGAAGGGAATTTAAGGGGAAAAAGGGGGAGGGATTTGGAGGAACAAATAGGAAGGACACAGGGACAAGAAATAAGGGGGGTGGAAATGGGAGGAAGGTGGGAGCATGGGGCTGGGGAGGCTGGGTTGGGAGAAATAGACAAAAAAACTGTACTTGAAAAATAACTAAATAAAATTAATTAAAAAAATAAAAAAATGAAAAGCTTTTAAAAATAAAAAAATAAAAATAACAATAAAGATTATAAACACTATATTTAAATAAATAAATAAACAAACAAACAAATAAATAAATAAAGTAACCAAAAAAAAAAAAGGAACTGCCTTATGACCCAGCAATTCTAGTCCTGGGTATTTATATGAAGAAACTCAAACACTGATTCAAAAGAATGTAAGCACCCTTATGTTCATTCAGGGTTATTTATAATAATTGAGATATGGAAACAACCTAAGTGCCTATCAGATTAATGGATAAAAAGCAGTGGTACATAAACACAATGGAGTATTACTCTGCCATAAAAAGAATGCAATCTTACCATTTGTGATAGCATGGATAAACTTACTGGGAATTATGCTCAGTGAAATAAGTCAGTCAGAGAAAGACAAATATCACATAATTTCACTTACATGTGGAATCTAAAGAACAAAATAAACAACAAAATTGAAACATTCACAGGCACAGAGACTGGATTGGTGGTTGTGAGAAGATAGGAGGTTTGGGGGACTGAGTGAAAGTGGTGAAGGGATTAAAAAGTACAAACTGGTAGCTACAGAATAGTCACAGGGAGCTAAAGTATAGAATAGGGAATATAGTCAATAAAATTATAGTAATTGTGTATGGCACCAGGTGGGAACTGAAAATACTGTGGGGAACAGTTTGTAAAGTATATAACAGTCTTATCATTATGTTGTGCACCTGAAACAACTACAAAAATAATACCAAAAGTAAATTGTAATTGAAAAATTAAAAATTTAAAAACTTTAAAAAAAGGACTTTCAGCCAAGATGGAGGCATAGGTAGACCACTGTACCTCCTTGCTCAAGCAAAATAAGGACAACAGAAATTTGGAAACCAAATAACGACCAGTACTGACAGGAAATTGAACTGTATGGAAGTCTGACAACAAAGAAGTGAAAGTAGACACATGCATCCAGACCAGTAGGAGGGGTGGAGTCCAGCGGCCACTGGAGAGGGGTCATGGCCCACAAAAGGAAGCAGTGGCAGACCCATTGAGGTGGTGGGGCACACAGGGTGGCTTGTGGAACCTGGTGATCCCACATGTGCACACACATAAACCAAGCAAAACGGGAGTGAGACAGACCATGAAACCCAGGGTCCCAGTGTGGGGAAATAAAATCTCAAAACACTGATTGAAAACATATGTGGGGATTGAGACCCACAGAGTGGGTGGAAGTGATTGAAATCCAGAAGGGAGTGGACCAAGTGCCATTGTTTCCTCTCAGACTCCTGCCTCACATACAGCGTCACAACCCAGTGACTGGGTTGCCCTGCCCTAATGAACATATAAGGCTCTGCCCTTCACTATGTAACAGGCACATCAAGACAAAACTAGTGGCTCAAATGAAAGAACAAAGCAAAGCTCCAGATCAAATACAACTAAGTGATGAACAGATAGCCAACCTATCAGATTTACAGTTCAAAGCACTGGTGATCAGGAAGCTCACAGAATTGTTAAAATTTGGTCACAAATTACATGAAAAATGAAGACTAAGTGAAATAAAGGAAAACGTACAGGGAACCAGTAGTGATGGGAAGGAAACTGGGACTCAGATCAATGGAGTGAACCAGAAAAAAATAAAGAAACAACCAAACAGAAAAGAATGAAGAGACAAGAACTCAAAAAATGAGAGGCTTAGGAACTTCAGCAACAACTTTAAATGTTCCAACATCTGAATTATAGGGGCACCAGAAAAAGAAGAGGAAGAGCAACAAGTGGAAAAGTTATTTGAACAAATAATAAAGGAGAACTTCCCCAATCTGGCAAAGGAAATAGACTTCCAGGAAGTCCAGGAGGCTCAGAGAGTTCCAAAGAAGTGGGACCCAAGGAGGAACACACCAAAGCACATCATAATTACCTTAGCCAAGATTAAAATGAAGGACAGAATCCTAGAAGCAGTAAGAAATAAGAAGATAGTTACCTACAAAGGAGTTCCCATCAGACTGTCAGCTAATTTCTCAAAAGAGACCTTACAGGCAAGAAGAGGCTAGAAAGAAGTATTCCAAGCCATGAAAGACAAGGACCTACATCCAAGATTGCTCTATCCAGCAAAGCTTTCATTTAGAATGGAAGGACAGATAAAGTGCTTCTCATATAAGGTCACGTTCAAGGAGTTCATCATAACTAAGACTGTTGTAGACTTCTCTGACTGGTTTTAGGAATTGTATCTCTACCCCTTGTGGCTAAGGGCAAGGGACAACCTTTGGAATGCCAGCTGCAAGAGACAAAGCCTGTCTCTGGTGGCAAACTCTTCATCAGTTTCCTCTCCCTGCCCCCAAAGCTTGGTCAGAAGTCAATGACATGTAAGACCCCCTCACGGCAAGGGGCAACCTAAACCAGACTCAATCACTTGGTAGGCCTTCATGGAAGGACTCGGGGGGGGCTGCAACAATGAGCAATGGACTCTGGCCCCCTGGTGAGAGTCCCCATGTTCTCTGGGGGAAGTGCTTTGACATAGCTCAAGTCCCCAAGTTCTCTGGGAGAAGTGCTTCCTGACTCTAATCCCCTTAAGCCTGAATACCTGTTGGGGAGAGGTGCAGCTCCTTGCCTTGCTAGAGCATGTCCTCAGGTAAAATCTGGCATCGCAAAGACTTCCTGATAAACCTGTGAAATCTGCTCTTCTCAGAGTGCTTTCATTCGTATGTTAAGGGTTCAAGCAGGAAATCTTAAAACTGTTCCTGACGGACTCAGACTCATAGTAATCCCTCAGATTTCTTTGAAATGTTATCTACTGTTTGATCCTTGCTGCCCTGTATTCCTGTATATTAGAACCCAGTAAAAGGCTATAGAGCAGGGGGCTCAGGGCCTTTTCCTCCTTGGTGAAACTGGCCACTGCTGGCCTTTTTTTCCCCTGAGAAGTTGGCCACAGTCCACTTCTCCTCCCCAAGTAGTTCACATCACGTCTTGGTCATATTCATTTTCATCCATGGCACCTGGGGGGACTTGGGAAGAAGTCGCTCCCACAACTAAGCCCTTATTATATGAAATGTTAAAGGAACTTGTCTAAGAAAAGAAGATAAAAACATGTACAGTAAAATGATAGAAAACTCACAATAATTAATAACCACACTTAAAACAAAACAAACTGGACAAACAACTAGAACAGAAACAGAACTACAGAAATGGAGATCACATGGAGAGCTAGCAACAGGGGATTAGGAGAGGGAGAGAGGGGGAAAAGGTACAGAGAATAAGTAGTGTGGATGGTAGGTAGAAAATAGACGGGGGAGGGTGAGTAGTATGGGAAATGTAGAAGCTAAAGAACTTTAAAGTATGACACATGGACATGAACTAAAAGAGAGGAATGTGGGTGGGAGAGGATGTGTAGAATGGAGGGGAGTGAGGGGGGAAATGGGATAATTGTAATAGCATAATCAATAAAATATATATTTTTAAAAACTTTAGAAAAAGAAAATAAAAATCACTGTTTCCACACAAGATTTTAGCATTATAGCAATATATATATATGTTTTCCAAGTTCGGTTGTCTCCATTTTCACTCTATCATGCCCACTTGCCCCACCAACCACCACCACCCACCCTTGAACCTACCTCCTTTGGCTTTGTCCATGTGTCCTTTATATATGTTCCTTGATGGCCCTTCACCTATTTCCCCCCATTATACCTCTCTCCACTCCTCTCTGATTACTGTCAGTCTGTTTATTTCAGTATCTCTTGTACTTTGCTTGCTTGTTTGTTTTGTTGATTAGTTTTCACTTATAAGTGAGGCATGGTACATTTTAAAACAATGTATAACATTTACTACAAATGATCTCTATAATTTACATATACACATCAGCTTGAAAAAAACTACTAATAGAAGGTTTTGTTTTTTTTTTCTTACCCATCCTCTCACTCTCTCCCCTTTGGCAACCATCAACTTGTTCTCTGTGTGTATGGGTCTGTTTCTGTCTTGTATACTCATTTGATGTTTTTTAAGATTTCACATATATGTAAAATCATACAGTGCTTGACTTTGTCTGACTTCTTTCACTTAGCATAATACCTTTTATTTTTTTCTTTTATTTTTTTAAATTTTTATTTAATTATTTTTTCAATTACATTTTTTGGTCTATTTCTCCCATCCCAGCCCACCCTGCTCCGTCTCCCCACCTCCCTCCCATTTGCCCCCCGTCCTCATCCCTGTGTCTTTCATACTTGTTCCTCAAAATCCCTCCCCATTTTTCCCCCTTAAATTCCCTTCCCTCTCCCCTCTGTTCACTGACCACTTGTTCTCTATTTCAGTGTCTTTGTTTTTATTCTGTTTGCTTGTTTGTTTTATTGTTTAGCTTCCTGTCAAAGGTGAGATCATATGGTATTTGCCCTTCAATGCCTGGCCTATTTCACTCAGGATCATGCTTTCCAGTTCCATCCATGTTGTTGCAAAGGGTAGGAGCTCCTTCTTTCTCTCTGCTGCATAGAATTCCATTGTGTACATGTACCACAATTTTTTGATCCATTCATTTCCTCACTGACACCTAGGTTCCTTCCAACTCTTGGCTATTGTAAATTGTGCTGCTATGAACATTGTGGTGCATAGGTTCTTTAAAATTGATGTTTTAGGATTCTTGGGATATAATCCTAGCAGTGGAATTGCTGGGTCAAAAGGCAGGTCAATTTTTATTTTTCTGAGAAAATTCCATACTGTTTTCCATAATGG